TACGTATGAAAACCATCAACATTTAGATAGGAAAATTTTGTTGAAATGGTGCACCCAACCGACTTACAGAGAGAGTTGCTAATGATGTGGAGTTACTCCACAACAAGGTCACACAACAGTTTCTGAAGCTCCAGTAAAATATCCCTAAGCATACCAGTTAAGCACAGTCGCAGAGTTAAGGTTCCTTCAACTCTCCCATGGTGTTTAGCATAGTTGCCAAGAATTCCTTCAAATCAGATTGTTATAGATGTACAGGTTTTCGTTGCAGGACTTTTTTTTTGATCAAAACTGAATGTTATCAGGCCATAGATTGGTCGTTGGCCGGCCTTGATACTTTTTATGTGTCATAATTGTTGCATCGTGGAAGCTTTTGAAGGTATTTGCGAGATTTGTCAAATTTTTATCGAAGTTGATCTTTCCTCAAAACTCTCTCAATTTAAGCCGACTTCCAGCTAAACTGATCGGTAAGGATATTGAAGGCGAATTAATTATATTACAGACAAACGGCATGTTTCTTGAACGGGAAAAAAAGAAAGAGGGCAGTTATCATGTAACATAGCCACCAGTGATGTTCATTTCCGGTGTTTGCAGTAGCATTTGTAGTTTACGGACATCTTAGTTCCAAATATCCTGTGTGTATAGTTGAAGTTTTACACGTGCGTCGTTTATTAACGTTTGATCCTGTACGCATAATATCTGGTGAATTGAAAACTGTCATCATTTTCCAAGTGCACTATACGGGTTTTATTCGGTTGTTGAAATTGTAGTGGTTTTACCTTGATAAAAATTAAAGCGTTCTGTATTCATGAAGGTTTGCAACCTTCTGTATGACTTTTTTAAATTTAGGCATTTCCTAAACTTACTGGTTTTCATTGAACAATTCGTGTATCATGATTTAGAAAGTTTTTTGCTGTTTTTGCCGAGAAAGTTAGCTGTAATGATTTTTAACGGCAGTTTCAAAGTTGTCAACTAGGTAACAGTGACATTTACAAATTTCTTAAATGGAGCTTACAGCATATTTCAGAAGTTGGCATTGTTAATTGTTCAATTCTTATAGGAATTTATCACAGCATCTGCTCGGTGTTCGTTACGCGCCCAAATTGATTCTACTTCTACACATCGTTAAACTAATCCTGTAGTTTAATAAAGCAGTAATCGAGATAAAAGCGAGTAGCGATTTTCTATGTCATTACCAGGTACAACTTTACGTCGTCGAAGAACGAATCTGCGAGATTTAGTAACAAATCTTGATGCATTTACCAAAACGACACAGGAAGTTAAAGAAGAGAAAAGTACTTCCGGTGGCATAGGTTAGTTCTTTTGCGGTGCAAACAATTCTTACTCTTCAAAATTTCTTTTTTTACTTTATGGCCGTTTGTTGGAACTTCTCGTACCTTGTTGACATGCAGCAAATTTATTTTTGCTGTGTATTCTTTTGTTCCAGTATCAGTGATATGTTTCATCGTTGTTGCTATACTTTGCATTGGGGAGCTTACCGATATGTTTTTTGGCGATCCACAATATGAGTACCGGTTTTCTGTTGATACAGCTTATACCGAGTAAGTGTTTATCGTTTAGCAGTAAGGTTTTGTTAAAAATCGTAAGTAAACATCTATTTAATCTTTTTCCTATAGTAATGATGCTTTAAAAATACTATATATTTCATTTTGTAAAATCTTCTGTGCTATACTTTTCTACTTTGTTAGTGTAACTTACCAACTTTAAGACAGCCAAGTATCGAACTGGACATGATTGTTGCAACGCCATGCAACAGTTTGAGCATTCAGCTTCCTGATTCAGCCTCTGAATTTCATGTCTTAGACGGATTCAAGAAAGATCCAACCCGCTTTGAATTTACCGATGAGGAGCTTATTTACTGGAATGAGTTGAGGAAAGCTCAGGGTTCAGCACAATTAGATGCTAGCGTTTTCAGGGGATTAGAGAAAGTAACTTTCTACTACTTCAACTCTGTTTATGGATTTTTTAAAAGAAAAATCTGATACTTAAAGAGTTTTGTTGCCATTTACACTCCTTTTACTAAATTTGAAATTTATTTTTTTAACAGTTTGTTTTTAAGATGACTTTCGTTAGTGGCAGGGTAGAAGAAGGTCTTGGAAGAGCTGCCGAAAAGAAACAGAAGGAGGAGGAAGATGCATTGGAGAGAGAAAAGGAGAATGAACCAGAAATTGATGAACCGCATGGGGCGGCAGCTATTATTCTGATCGGGAACAATATGAACATGTTCCAAATTATCTCCAGTAAGGCGTTTTTGTGTAATATTTTTTCGTCCCTTTATAATGAGTATTTTATTTACTGATAATTCTAGGTAACTCAGGGAAGGATGAAGGCACTGCCTGTCGTATTCACGGTAGTATTCAGGTTAATAAGGTCAAAGATGACAGCATCTTGATTACTGTTGGGAAAGAAGTTGGTATCGAAGCTATACTTAATCATATTAGTGGAATGGCCAGTAGTAAGTTTGCAACTGAATCTTTCTTTTTCTGGATTGTAAGGATATAGAGGGTATTGAAACATTTCTTATAGATGCAATTTTTGGGCTCTTTACTGTAGGTCAAGTAGGTAAAGACAAAAGGTAGAGATCTTGAAAATTTGCGGATAATACTAGAGGAGACGGAAGTAAATGACTGCGAGGGGAGGGTGGGGGTCATTTTTTCTGCAGTTTGTGTCTCAAGTCTGCAGTGTAGCACGCAGGTCATTTTATATCATTTTGTATGCTTGGTTCAGCTGATTCCTCAAGTCTTTTCTGTAGTGAATTTAATGCCGTTAAAGCGCATATAATAGAATCTAGAAATTATACGTTGAAATGAGTTTTTGCTAAGTTATTCTTTTTAGGAAAACAAAGTTTCTAAAGGTTTTGCGCATCCAGAGCCGTTTTAAAACTTAAAATTTATCAGTTGCACAGAACTGAGTAGATGACTCTGGGATTTTGGTACTAAAATAACTAGAATTTTATGCGTTTGAAGTATGAGAATTCACTGTTCAGAAGTAAGTGCTTAACAAGCATGTCACAAAAAGAAGACATGTTTATATATCCTGGTTTTAAAGTTGTAATTTTTAGAGGTTTTTTGTGAAAAATGAAGAAGTATGCTTGTATGGATATGCCTTGGAGAATTGAACAAAAATACTTATTAGTAAGTTGAGATTGACAAAAGAAGCACTCTAACACCATGTTTTGGTAAAATTTTCATACCGAATAAATCCTGTATGCGCGCTACGTCATCCTAAATTTTAACCACAAAGAAACTGAAGATCTCTTGTATTTTTGTGGGTTATAGCTCGGCAAAGGCTTGCTCTCTAAAATAAATCCTTTTGATTTTGAAATTGAGTAGCTGGTTTGTTGAATACTAAAGTTTAGCAAGGTCTGTCATTTGTTATGGGATGGTCCGCATACAACTATAGTATACCTTAAAGACCTTACTTTTCGTTTTTAGGTTTTTGATTTTTTATATTTGTATACTTCTGAAAGTTGCGTGTGTTTTAAAACTGCATGTACGGAGATTTTGAGCTACTGATGCGGGGCTTTTACAAGTAAAGAGTGATTTTTGCGCTCAAGTTTTTCAGCACTTTTCAACCGTAATTTTAGCGGTTAATGATTAGAAACATTTAGAAGGAAATATCTCCCATCGGATTGAAAAATTACACTTTGGTCCTCGAATACCAGGTCTTGTAACTCCTTTAGCTGGAACGGAACAAATTTCAAAGTCAGGTTGATTTTGCTTTAAAATTTTTATAAAAAGTTCAGAGACTTGCATTTTTTACTCAGCTCTACATACTTAAAAATAATAGTAATTTGATTTTCATTTTTACTATACCGTTAATTTTTCTGGTGGGGCTGTTATAGGCATTTAAATTCAGTTTCCTTGATGAGTAATAGTTTTCGAGTGATAATGTATCCCAGTTGCTTATTTTCACGCTTTTACGCTATTCGACCCTTTCACTAAAAATCTTTCTAAGTGGGAAAAACTGCTGGTGCAATAAATCAGTTGGCTTCTTGACTTACTGTTTGAATAGGGCATATTCTGTAGTAGCACGTGCTTTGTCTTCTTTAGTTCCCTGCCATATTTCATCCTAACTTTGACGTCGTGCAGATTAATCGATGTGATCGGTTAATTTTTTTTCTCGCTGGTGTAAATGTCCGTGCTAAAATTCTTAGCAAATTATAGTTTGGAAGTGTGTTTTATTTTATGCTTTTATAGTATTCTGTTATAGTATCTTTTAGGTAGTGCGGAATATCGATATTTTCTTAAAATCGTGCCGACAAAAATTTTTCATGGATTATTTGGAGGTCATACAACAACTTTTCAATATTCGGTTACATCTACAGTAAGAATTTTTTAATGTTCCTGTTAAAATCTTTTATATACAGTCTGCTGGATAATCGTGAAGAAGAATGCTTCTTTAAGAAACGCCGTTTAATTTATTTGAATTTGTAATTTTAGGTCATTTTGTAAAAATAATTATAGAAAAAACTACCAAAAGGTGACGAACATTTCCACTCCGGTATTCTTATTCACTATGACTTTGCTGCTACAGTGATAGAAGTTCGTGCAGTTTATACGTAAGTCTTAATGGCTGATATGGGAAGAGTAATATTTTTGATGCTTTTAATCTTTCAAATTTTTCAGTTCCGCGTTCCAGTTAATGATCAGGTTGTGTTCAGCTGTTGGTGGAGTGTTCGCTACTAGTTCAATAATTCATAGCCTTTTTCAATCTTGTTGCTGTTTTTGGACATCGAGAAAACACAGCACCAAAAGTTCCTATCGTCCACTCCAAAAAGCAGATACTTTTTTCACTCCTTCTGTTAAGGATATGTAAATTTTGTGCATTAAGATTAATGACAAGTCAGCGTTTAAATTAATTGATTCAT